AAAAATGGTTTCAGGGCAAGTTCTTATTTTTCCTTAGATCAATCTACTTTTTAAGAAATTAGTGTGGTAAAATACACAAAACGTAAAATTTCCCATTGGTCACGTGTAGCACATTCACAGCGCTGTGCAAGCATCACTTCTAACTGGTTCCAGAATATTTTCCTCACCTCGGAAGGAGACCACACACCCTCTGAGCCGTCCCTCCACAACCCCACAGCCCCCAGCAACCACTAAGCTGTTTCCTGTCTCTGTGGGGTTTGCCTATTCCGCATATTTCATATAAATAGAAGTTTACAATATATTGGCTTCTTTCACTTAGCGTAATGTTTTCAAGGGTCGTCATGTTGTAGTATGTATCAGTACTTTCTTCCTTTTTATTGCTGATTAATATTCTATTGAATGATAACATTCCATTTAATGGACATACCACATTTTGTTTATCCATTCATCCATTGATGGATGCTTGCATGGTTTGTGCCTTTTGCAAATAGTGCTGCTAGGAATACTCATGTACAAGTTTTTGTTTGCACATCTGTTTTCAGTTCTTTTGGGTACATATCCAGGAGTGGAATTGCTGGGTCGTGTGATAATTCTATGTTTAACTTCTTCAGGAACGGCCAGACTCAACCCGTGTTTCCTTACTTTGTTGTCTGTCAATGGCAGTCCGTATTATAGATGGCGCCAGCTGGGTGTTGCTCAGCCAAACTCCAGAACACAAGACTGGTTCTTCTTCCCGCCCTTGTTGTTCTGTTATGAACTCAACCCTCTCTTCTGCCCAGAGCAGCTCCACGCAGACAGGCTGGGAGTCAGGCCAGGTGCGATCGGGGCTGTTCCAAGGAAAGAAGCATGTATGTCTCTTACTATGGCAAAACAGGGAATCTCTTTGCTGAGGAGCAGGCCTCCCCACGGGGCCCTGCCGGCTCACAGGCTGTCTGGCCACTTTCCCTTTAGAATGAACTCCATGGACTGGACAGTTTTCAGTCCTAAGAGGATCTTGGCCAGTCAGCCCATCGCTTTCCTCACTTATGAGGCTGCAGTGAGTGTGCGAAGTTGATGGGTGAGTAGACAAAGCTGTGTTGCTGGGAGAAAGCAGTTTGCAGAGCAGACGGACCAAGGCCTGCACCCTTTCGCTGGCCCTGCAAGTCCAGAGCCAGTGGCCGGGCTAGTGCTGCCGTGAGCACCTGGGGAGGGGGAGCAGCCCCTGTGTGCAGAGCACCGTGTATGAGCCCCCTGAGACATTCTGGAAGTGGAGCCCAGTACATGTGGCACGGATGCTCCATTAAACTCAGAGGATTTAAACATAGGATTAGAATCCACCCCCAAGGAAGTAAAACATTCAGGAAGGAAATATTCAAAACAGAAACATTCATATGGTTTCATGAACTATGCTAAAATGTGTAAAGAACAGAAACTGATTTGGTGGTAATAGCTCTCTTGATCCATCTCTTTTGGAGGTTCTTAGCACTTGACTGAGAAAGGAGAGAAAATTCCTTCTGTGAAGCAAGATCATAGTGTGAGCCCCACACACAGGGTTTCACATCTTTCAAAGCACCCACATGCGTTACTGCCAGACTGGAACCCCCGTGAGGACAAGCAGCCTGCCGAGGCCCAGGAGAGGCCCCCTCTCTCTGGCTACAAACTGGTTTCTGTATTTCCAGTGCCTGCCGGGAGTGAGTGTGTAGAGGGCATGTGGCTGGATTGATGAGGGGGTGAAATTATTTGTTCCATTCACCTTCACCTGTAAAGAATGTGTTTACTATGCACATTTGACAGTGGTAACAGGCAGGCTCACAGAGGTTTGAGTGACTTGGACAAGGTCATGAAGCCAGTAAGCCAGCAGAGCCAGGACAGAATCCAGACCCTCCCGCCCTATGCCCCTGCTCTTGCATTAAGACCTCAAAGGAATCAGGAGAGATCTCAAGTGGGCTTGGAAAACTCCACGCAGAAGTCCTGGGGGAGTAGGGGACCCCCACTAAATGCCACCTCTTCTTTCCTAACGTGTCTCTGATTGGCTCTCGTTCAGCTGAGGGATATTGCTGGGAGGTGGGAATTAGATGTTTGCCAAGGACCAATACCGTGGTCCGGGACAGAGGGCAGGCTCAGACACGTGGCTGAGCGAGATGGCAGCGGGCCGTCGGCGCATGTCAGTGCCTTGGGAGTCTCCTGCCACCCTGGGCTCCTCCACCCAGAGAGAAGGGTTAATAGGACACTCACGCCACCAAGCCCTGTGGGCTGGGCCTGTACATGGAATGCCGGGGAGCCAGCACTGCCCGTGGGAAGAAGAGGACAAACAACCGGCTGTCCTGGGATGGTACACACCACCAGGGAGGGGACCCGGCAGCTGCAGGGCTGGCACAGGAGAGCTGGGACAGGGAGAGGGACGGGGCCCAGAGCTCATCGCTTCTGCAGTGCAGAAGAATCAGAGAACCCAGCACCCAACTCCTGCTTTCCTTCTTGCTACTCGAGGGGAAGCTTCGCTTCAGCAGAGTGGTGGCCCTGGGGAGGGAGCAGAGCCAGCTTCACAGCCTGAGCAGCGTTGACTGTGTGTTACCTGCTTGGACCTTCCGGAGCACAGCTCTGCTCTTCCCTCTGTTGGAAGCCCCTGAGGAAGGGACTGTTCCTCCTCACGCTCCCTCTCCTGCCAGCTTCCTCCCCCGGCCAGTGCGTCCTCCACCACGCTCACAGACTAGGCGGCCGCAGGGGCAGGGAGAGGAGCTTCCAGCCCAGCCTGCTGTGGGGAGAAGGATCTGGAGCAGTGGCCCTCTGCTGCTTTTTCAATCCTGCAGTCCCCAGAGGGCTCCACAGCAGCTGTTTGCTCCTTTGTCCCACCAGCTCAAGCCCCTGTGTCCAGACAGCAGAGGAGCAGACACTGGAGATACACAGGCCCAAACTCGGGGCAGGGCGGAGGCGGTGCCACTCCGCTGGCCCTGAGTGAGCTGAGTCTGGGGCAAGCAGAAGGGGACACATTGTCTGGGAAGGGGACTGCAGCCAGGGGGTCCTACTGCGAGGAGTGTGCCCCAATTGTATGAACACAGGAGCAGGAGAGTGAGGGCGGCTGATGCTTCCCATTTTCTCTCTCTCTGTTAGTTTTTCCAAGCTGACTTGCAATATGGCCCGTTTAGAGCCCATTCCCTAAGACTCGGAATCACCAGGTGCTTCTAGAACCCCCGTGAGCACGTCACTGTGCCAGGCTCCACAGGAGAAGGGGCAGGGTAGACCCCCGACTCCCAGCAGTGTGCGAGCGGAGGGCACCATGAGGCTCTGGCAGGTCAGGAGAGAGACTCCTCCAGGGAGGCTCCCAGAGGACGTGAGTCCAGCAGGGAGGGACCCAAAGGCCATACCACGTTGACAGAAGGGAGGCAGGGAGGCCGCCCGAGCCTGGCCCTGGGATGAGGCCGGACAAGAGCCATAGGCCGGGGCTGTGAGTCTACCTTCCCATCGAGGAGCCCTGGCTCCTGCAGGAACGAAGAGGGCCTGAGTCACTGCCTCTGGTGGACTCTGCTATTTTTATGTGCAAGTCCCGGTAAAAATAGCTGTCTAAGCCAAGGTTTTAGCTGCGACTGACAGGACATTAAGTATTAGATACCTAATGCCCACAAGCAATAACCACGGGTCTCTTCCTGTGTCCATTTTCCACCTCTCCAACAAGGTTAATGAGAAAGCAGGCAGAAAGCAGCTATGAGAAGGGCCCCTAAGAATAACTCAAATTACTTCCCAAACTTTAGGGCCTACTGCGGGATGTGCCCACCACATATCCGTGGACAGCACGTCCTGGGTCGGGTGCTGCGGTGAAGCCCACATGTTCTCAGCACACTGACCCCGTGGAGCCACTGCACGCTAGGCCCCTTCCGACAGCACGTGCAGCCTGATGCGTGGCCGCCGCATCCGAGCGGCGGTGCCTTCCAGGCCAGCCAGTGCTGAGAAGGTGCCTCCTACTCCCATCGGCCCAACGAAAGCTTGTCTTGTCTGGGCAGAAGCTCAGTGTGTGCCGGCCTCGGCCCTGCCCCTGCCCCCGCATGTGGACACAGCCGCTTGGCGTGCGTGCTCAGCGCTAAGAGCAACGTTAGCCCAGCGATTCCAGCAGAGTGTTCAAGGGGACCTGGCCTGTCCACACCCCACACAATAGCGCCAAGAGTGATGGAGGAAGCCCCGGGGCGTACGCAGGTGGAGCAAAGCCAGCCCATCCTGTGGCCACCAGGCCTTGCTCCTTCTCCTCTCCCCCCAGCTCCAAGAAAGCTGGCAAGGCACAAGCCGGGCAGGGTACAGCGCGTGGGACTGCGCTGGCACGTATGAGCAAACGTTAGGTGCCAGCCTATTTCGACAAGTTTCTCAGCTTTTAAAATAAGCAGCAGCTTCTCAGGGGTACTCAGTGCAGTGTGAGGAGCTGGAGGAAAGGGTTCATTCCTACTCAGCAGGTAGAGTGCGAGAGCGCCCGACTCAGCCTCCCCAGCTCTCGGCCCACCCGGCGGGCAGCCCCTGCTGAGGCCTCCAGCACGCAGCCCGCAGCAGGGACCGCGTGAGCGCCTGCCGCACGGCTCCCCGGGGCTGCCAAGTGGGAGCCCCGCCGACCTGCCCGGTTCCACAGCGGCCAGCGTGGTAGGGACCGTCCGCAGAGCGCCCCAGGCTCTGTGGCAAAGCAGCCTCCTCAGGCCTCGGGGGACCTGGACTCTGTGACAGGCAGGGTTGAGCCAGTGGGACTCGTGGAAGACATTTCTCTTACCAGGGAGAGGAGGGGGAGTCTCCATTGTCCCTGCACAGAGAGGCCCCAGGCCTCCCCATGGCCGATAAGTAGTAACGAGTCAAAGCCTGGCCGTGGGACACCTAAAGCTCCAGGGCCTCAGCTCGCAGCCCCAGCCAGACCTGGTGGCTGTGGTCCAACCCCACGTCCCTCCTGGGGCTCCTGCGAAGAACATGGCGGCCGGGGATGGCCAGGGGAGTACCCCCTACTCCAAGCTGCCTGCTAACTGCCCCTCTGGTCTCTTGTCTTTTTGGTTCTTCAGTGAGAAACGCCACCTTCAAGTGAACGTCACCAACCCGGTGCAGTGCAGCCTGCACGGGAAGAAGTGCACCGTCTCCGTGGAGACTCGGCTCAACCAGCCGGAGCCCGACTTCACCAAGAACCGCTCAGGCTTCATCCTCAGCGTGCCCGGGAACTGAGGCCGCCGGGGGAGGCCTGGCCCGGTCTGGCTGCGGCCACCCCACTCGCCCCGCTAGAGAGCAGCTGGCCAGGGCCCGCGCCCGGGCAGGAGCCTCTTCCCCTTCTCTGAGGCCGTTGCGCCGTGAGGTTTCTTCCCGGCTTTCTGCCTTTGGTATCCGCCTTCCTCTGTCCTGACTTTCCACGGTCCCTGCTCAAAAAACCAAAGACCCTGGTGCCCCACCCCAGACCCCCGGGCTCACAGCCAGACCACGCCTCGCCTCAGAGGCAGCTGGAGGGCGCCTTAGTTGGTGCAGGCGTTCCTGAACGGCCAGGCCAAGTCAGCACACCTCGAGCCAGTGACCAGCTGCTGACCCTGCGAACGGACAGGCGGGAGAGCTCAGGACGCAGCTTCCCAGCCAAAGATGTGCTCGCTTGGGGTGTCGGGGAGACCTGGTAGACGCAAGCTGGGGGTGCAGCCCTGCACTCTCCGTGACCCCACCTGCCACCTCTGCCCCCCAGGGTGACCCAGCCCTCAGGACCCGGCTCAGGGAGGCTGGTCTCAGAGCTCAGCAGACTCCCCCACCCCACCCCCAGCAGCCAGCCAAAGCCACCAGGTGAGCAGGGGCACCTGCAGAGCCCAGCCCCTCACCCAGGAGTCATGCCCAGCCGGGACGCCAGCGTCCCCAGGCTGCCCCTGCGCGCAGCTCTGGAGAGAGCAGTGTGCCCGTGCCCTGGGATCGTCTCACCTAACCCACAGCCCGTGGCCGTGGCCATCTTACACTTATTTTTGCAGTTTGCAGGGCTGCTAATCAGATATCTGCTGTCGCCACACTTGTGTCAAGAATCCTAATAAGAAAATGGAGCTGCCGGGGAGGGGAACACGCAGGGCTGGCAGCTTTGTCTCTCTAACACCTCGCACGCTTCCCCTCACTGGAGAACTAGGACGGGGCGGGGCCGGAGCACACAGCAGAGACAGGAAGGGGAGCGACAGAGACAGCGTGGGGTCCTGGCACTGCAGGCCAGGCCAGGACGGCACCACCACACCCTGCACAGCCCCTGCCGGGGCTGGGCCCATGGACCCCTTGCCACCAAGCACACGGCTCCAGAGGCCTCGCTGAGCCCACCTCCTCCCCCAGCCCCGGCTGCCGACCATGCCGTGCACGGCCCAGGCCTCCCGACGGGAGCCTTGAAGGAAGAGGGGCTCAGAACCAGCCCGTTGTGAGGAGATGCGGGTGAGCCCAGGCCTCAGGAGGAGCAGGCGGGGGTGCGACAGGGGCGTAGCGAAGCCTTCACTTTCTGCCACAGATGCTGCCCCCAGACCTGGCAGACCCAAGGGCCTGTGAGCAGGTCCCGCACCGCACCCAGGGAGGCGCCTGCAGCCTGGTCTCATGCCCACCTCCACCCCTGCTTCCCGGGGCTTGCAGACATTTGCACTACGTGCAATTTGCAACAAAGAATCCTGTTGGCATCCTGTCCTTGGGAGCCCTGTCTGCAGGCGCAGAGGTGCCACCAGCACGGTCTAGCAACGCTCACAGCTTTGCCAATTACCAGTAGATACTAGTTGAACCATGTAACTGGAACTTCACCTCTCCTTCCCACGTATTTCCCCAAACTTGTTGCTTTACACTAGACACATGCAAATGTATGTTTTAAACACACCAAAACAGATCATGCCAAATGAGTTGCCTGTCGGAGGCTGGAGAGGAAGAGGGTTTGGGTTTGGTCCTTCCCAGCCCCTTGGATGTTGCCTCGGGCCCTCAGCCCCAGCACCAGGGCCTCCCAGTCAAGGCCACAGGCCAAGCACTTTTTTATGATGTACTAGAAGCCACGGTGTGTGGCCACTGCAAAGGGATCGGGAATTTAGGGAGTGATCGTGGTGATGCGTCCGGGGTGCCGAGGGAAAGGAAGAGGACACGGTGATTGTATGCGATGAAGTGTTTCTCCTGATTTAATTAAATGCAATTTTATGGTTTGGTGCGTATATTCCTATTTTCCATTAAATTAACTTTATTTCTAAAGCATATTTTGATTTACCATCAAGAGCAATAAAGCATTAAATCTTATTTTTAAAGGTGTTCGTTCTGCATTTCTGTCACTGAAAACTGTAATCGTGAGCTTTTCGTTTATGTAACGTCGTTAACTGTTATCCCAGAGGACGGAAGGGAGAATTAAGCACAAATAGTGTAAAATGGGGGCTCATTTGCGTGAGGCTTTTGAACAAAAATATTAGTGACCGAGAAGCAGGCTGTGAGGTGGTCAGAGGCGCCAAGGCAGTGGAGGCCCAGCGCTTCCCTCCGCAGTCTTGGGGCCTGGGGGAGAGCGTGCTTACTGACGGTAAAGCAGGTGGGTATGAAGGAAGGGCTCAGATCCCCCAGCAGAACCTTGGGGACCGGCAGGTGGTCCGAGCGAAAGGGGCTGGGAGGGGAAGTGTGGGGGCGGCAGGACCAGAGACAGAGAAAGCAGGAAGCAGCTCCCCAGGGCAGGGGGTGAGGCCCTCTGGGGCAGCAGGGCCCTGCAGCCACAGGGTGCTTCCCGGTCTGTCACTGGTCATTGGCAGAAAAGAACATACAGTCGCAGCTTCTGTGACTCAAGACCAAGAGAGTTGCTTTGAGGAAAGCAAAAGGCCTTGATCACAAGACTAATGGCTCCCAAGCCACAACCTGAGCACAAGAACGGCCTTCCTGGTACCCAGGGACAGACAGCTGTGGACCTCAGGGCTGCAGGGCTGGGGGGGCCACATCCCCACTACCCTCTCCCTGAGTCTGAAGCTGGTGGCACTAGTGGGCCTTGGGCTGGCTGGCAGGACCGGCGCAGACTGCTTGTGATGCAGCAGGTAGGACCCCACCCTTGCCACAATCAGGGGCTGGGGTGGCTGCTTGTGGCAGCCCCAGGGCTGGATTTCTCTCTCAGAAACCTGGTTGGAGCTAAACTGGCAAGGATGGCCAGTTGGGACACCTGTCCACCCCTGTTGGCCTGGGAGCCCCTAGGCAGGGAGCACCAAGCAGCCAGGCCCAGGGACACACGGGTGCAGCAGCCTCAACACAGGGAGTCCAAGGCTGGGAGCCCTGAAGGATCGACTCGGCCAGCTCTCACCAGGCCATGCTTGGGCCTGGCCTTCCTTGGCTGGAGGTTCCAGTCACCCAACTCCACCAAAGGAGCCTTTGGGGAACGCCTACCCCCACCCTGTCTGGGCACTAAACCAAAGCTGACTTAACCTGTGCTTCTTCCTTAATCACCTTAGTGTGTTAAGCCCCTTACCCCACTCTGTCCCTCTCCCCTCCCCCTTATATAACACAAATCCAATTATGTTCTGAGTGCATGACTCATTTGTTAAAGGGGCCCCCAACCTGCTCACAAATGATGGGCCCACAAAAAGACGTAATGGATGGTCAGTGCATTTTATTGAATCAGCACAGTACAAAAATAAATAAAAATAAGGGAAGGGGAATTAAATTACAGCCAAACTGAGCTTCATGACTTTGTCAGATTATAAACCACACATACTCACACACTACACATACATACAAAATGAGACAAATATAAATTAATATTAACAATACCCACAGTTTGGTCAAAGAATAGCTACAGAAGAAATTGCACTAAAAAAACCAACAAACAGCACACGTGTGTAATTAGCAGTTTCAAATATACAGCTATGAATAATTCTGAGTGAAAAAAATGGCACATTTTCTTTTCATTGCAAGTTTTAACAACTGTTGGAACAAAACTAAATTCTAACAACTGCATGGAAAGAATATATCAACCCTTCAGGTTTACAATTAAAAGAGAAAAACCAAATCCTGAACTATTATTCCTGTGGCTTGTTCTGTGCATGGGTGTAATTTTCACAGCCATCTGTTCTAAGATTATTTTTCTTAAGACACAAAATGCTCCTGGTTTGCATGCACAATATCACTGTAAAAGCAACAATTAAAGAATAAAGGTTTTTTTGTAGATTAGTTTTTTTTTATTGTTGTTCTAAAAGTAGCCTTCATAGCAGCATGTCACATGGGTTCGTTGCTTGCACACTCAAGTATATCAGTTGTTCCTTTACACAATACTGATGACCAGTGCAAGGGGAGAGAGGAGACACGACAGGCTTCACACGGAGGGGACTAGAGAGTTGCTTCCTTCGTCCCCAACCACTCCTGCAAGGTGCACCTCCTCCAAAAAATAAAAAAATACGGAGAAAGAGAAGGAAACAGACACAAAACTGGAATCCCGTGGCTGCAACTTAACCGCATAGTTCCAGGCCAGGTCCAGCCAGCCGAAGGTGACTACAAACATGCGCCCTCCTCCTGAGACTTGGCACCGACTCTCCCTCTTCCAAGCCACCAAGGGTCTCCCGCCTCAGGTCGCGCGTGGCAGCAGGATCAGCATTCTGGCTGTGTGGAAGCCCCGCAGAGAGACGCTGCGGTGAAGCCCGTGCTGGCAGCCGCAGGTTTCTCCTGGCACCGCATCCGATTGTCTGACAGTCCCAGGAACGGCTGAGCTGGGCCTCGAGGGGCAGTCGGCCAGCAGGCCTCTTCCCCACCTCTGGGAACAGTGCGGGCCGGAAGGTTCTGCTCCAGGCCTCTGAATCGGGCCCTCGATTTCACAGCTTTCTCTTTTTTACGTATCAGTAGTGCTTGTGCTGAAATCGGCAGCCACCTAGAACCTGATCCTATGTAAAATGACACTCCGCCCCCCAGTCCCGCATCCCAGCACTGCCCAGGGGCCTGGGGCTGGAAGAGAGAATCCTCTGTGGCGTCTTCACGTTGGTCTTTGTTCTCCAAAGCCGGAGCGACGGATCACGGAAGAACACTTGCTCCCTTCTCTTGGTCCTCTCCCCAGTCCCAAGCCACCAATGTGGGAGAATTAGAAAGAAAACTGACAAAGTACACATCGTGTGTTTTTACAGCCACCAGGGTAAGGTAGGAACCAAAACCAGCAGCTGCGAATGACCAGTTGTAGAATCAGCAGGCTTCCAAAGCAATCAGGAGTTGCACTCCCATCTTTTAATTGCCTCCAAGATCCAGCTGTCTTGCTGGCCTTGCGAGGCAAGGCTTCCTCTCCAGAAGAAACTGAACTGTTTGGAAACAGCTTTAAATTAACAGGGGTGGGGGTGGAGGTACGCCATTACCACATCACCCCAATCCCTGACATCACCTCCCCCACCCGGGCTCTGCAGGACAAATGTCATGTGCACCAGCAAGAGGCCTCAGCCCTTAGGTGGGCACTGGCTTGGTCTCGGGCATGGCACCCCCCCACCCCGCACCTGCCCAGAAGGCAGGCTGTTGCTGACTGGCACCTGCAGTTGTCCCGGCATTTGCCACAGGGTGACTACACTGCAGTATTCAAATGGAAAACTCTCCCAGGAAAGGAGCTGTCCCCAACGTCACCCCACCCCTTTAGCTGGGACCCAAAATGAGAGAATTTAATGAGTCAAACCAGCTCGTTAGCCAACACTACCAACACGGCTGGGAGCAGCAGGCAAGGGGGAGGGGGTGAGCTCCATTTCTCCACTAAAGGAAATTCCTTCTCCCTAAAAAAGCAAACAGCAAGCCAGAACCATGCATGGTCAAAAGATCAGACACAATCTTTGCACCAGACTGGCTTTGCCTCGCCTCAACTAAAGATGTCCCAGGCCATCGGGACCTTGCCTCCCAATCCCACCTGTGGCTCAGTCCGGGCGGCTGGCTCCAGGAGCCTCTGGGAGAGTGACCGACCCAAAGCAGAAGCCAGAAAAGGGCCTCGAACCAGAAACCTCAGTTCCTCCCTGGGCCAACCAGCCAAAGGCCCCGCTGCAGCTCCCCTCCAGGAGCAGCAGGCAGCCTGGCCCACCCCGGATCCAGCAAGGGCGCAGGCGGTGGGGCGCATCAGTCGAGTTCCCCCAAGTGAGGTCAGTGGCCTCGGTGGTTCTGAATACGTCTTCTGGGTTTTGCACAAGGTTTGTGAGTCCAAAAGTGCCCAGATTTCTTGGCAGGGCTGAAAAAAACCCCAAGGAGATTAACGTGGGAATGGAGAGGCCCTTGGTGGCTCTGCCAGACACATACTGTACACAAAACTGACCTGTTTAATAATAAATTTTTAAAAATGCATTGAATCCTTGAGCCATGGCGCGGGCTACAGGGCTCACCGATCGAGCCCTAGAAGGAGCCGCTTCTTGTCCTCCTGGCCACTCTCATTCTTCAGGTCAGAGAACACCTGTGTGAAGTAGTGTGGGTCGGCGTTGATCTGCAGCATCTTGGAGCTCATGAGGTTGATGACAGAGAGGCAACGGTCCCAAAAGGCCTCCTTGCAGCTCTCCACCAGGAAGGGCTTGAGTGGGTAAGAGATCTCGTTGCCCATGTAGGAGTAGGAGAGGTACAGGCAGGTGAGCAGCACGGCCTGGAGCTCGTGGTCCGAGCCCACCTCGGAGGAGATAACATCCCTGCAGAGCATGTAGAGGAAGACCACGTTGGCCGGCGTGATGAAGCCCTGGTCCTGCCAGCCCTGCAGAAGCAAGGAGCGGTCCACACTGCGCAGCCAGAGCACGGGGTCCGTGGGGGACAGGTGCTTCAGGCGGTAGCACCGGCGGCAGAGAAACTCGCCCAGGCAACGCAGCAGCTCGCTGGTGGACGCCTGGACGATGACCCGTTTGGGCGTCCCTGCGGAGGTGACAGCAGGGTGCGGAGCCTTCTTGACCGAGGAGACCCCGGTCTGGGAGCCCGAGAGCTGGCTGGCCGGGGGCGCGGGCGGCTGGGCCGGTGGAGGCTGGGCGAATGTGGACAGGTTGGCGCACGACAGCGACTTCTTCAGGTTCTCATTGTTCAGGTGCGTGATGTTGTTCTGGTAGCTGCTGTTGGGCTGCACCTTCTTGGAGTTCTTCTTCTTGGCCGACACGGCCACGATCCTCTTCCAAGGCAGCACGGAAATGATGGAGTGCCGCTTCAGGTTCTTGTCCTTGGCGTTCTTGCTGTTCTGCACGGCCGTGTAGTGGCCCACCGTGGCCGCGCCATCCTCAAACAGCGTGGCCTTCCGGTAGCTGGGGGACAGCGACAGCACCGTGCCCATGGTGCCTGTGCGCGCCGGGCGGGGGCCCGCGCCCCTGCGCGCCCAGCCTGCCGGCCGGAGGGGAAAACCGGCTCACCGAGGCTGCGGCGGCCCCGGGGAGGAGGCGGGGGCGCTCCCGGGACGCGCGCTGCCCTCGGATCTGCGTGGAAAACAAGATGGTTCTCAGCACAGGCGGGGCTCCGCGTCGCGCCCCTCGGCCCTCGCCCCGGACCCGCGGGACCCTTCCCGGGGCTCAGGCCCCGCCCGCGCCCCGCGCCGCAGCCTCGCCGCCGCCACTGCAGCACCCGGCCTGCCGCCGCCCTGCGGCCCCGCGGCGCAGCCAGGAGGGGGCCGGACGCTGGCGGAGCCTGCGGGCACCCCCGCCGCGCCCCCTCGCGCGGCCCCGACCCCTGCCCCCGCTCCCGGACAGCGGACGGCCGCCCAGCGCAGGCTTACCGCAGACGGCGGCTCCTGCGCTCCGCGCCCTCCGCAATGCGCGCCGCGGCTCGGCCGCCGCGGTCCCGGCGCTCGGCGGGGCTCGCGCTCGGCGGCGGCGGCTCCGAGCTTCTGTCCAAGGTTCTGC